GTTACCGAAAAAATCATTGAAATTTTTGGGTAACTTGTTTGAACACAATCTATTTGTTTGGCTAAAAAAATCTTTTAAACATAGACGGATCAACAACAATAAAAATCTTTCTCACAAAAAAACAAAAATTCATGCATCCTCACAAAGTCACAATATACGGCATGCAACAAGATAGTTTTACTTTTAGTCGTTGGGTCGAAATAATACCAAGTCAAAACTAAAAGTCAGGCGGGCTATCAAGAACCTTTCTTTGGAAGCTCCCTTCTTAATTATCCCATTTATTATTACAAACTATATATTTGATTTCTAAATATGACACTTCAATAATTAACTAAAAATGTAACGCTATAGAAAATGTATTCTCACTGGAATTTATTCAATTTCTTTGATTAGTTTTTCTTGCACTGGAATTCTTTTGAACTCGTAACACAATTTTTAACTAATAAAAAATGACTTCTCCCCAAATTTTAGCCAGGTTTGGCAATCTTTAATGTATATATCATATGTTTCCATAACGTTGGACAAAATTTTGGTTGCCTTATTTCTTCTTGTTAACTCTAAAACAAGTATTATTAGAGGGTATTATAGACTTTGGTACTATGCCATTTGCTACTATAAATACTCTTGCCCTTTAAAGGGTTTCTTTGCCACAAAGACTTATTATTTGTCATTTCTTCCGAGTCCCAAACACAATGGAATTCAATTGTGTTCAATTTCTTCAAAACAAGACGATTCTTGTCACTGGTGCTACCGGTTTCCTTGCCAAAGGTACGTTCTTTCATTTTTCAGCTTGATTTAATTAATTAATTCAAGGGTATTCTTCAAGATTCGTTAGACCGACTATTGACTTAGCTTGTGAAATATTTAAAAGTAAGATTGACACATATTTTTTGTTTGGTCACGATTGACACATATATTCTTTCGTCAAAACGCTGATTAATTTCGGTGTCTCTTTTATTTTAGAACAAAGTTTTTTTTTATAAACCGTGGGAGTTTTGAACCTTTAACTCATAATCTTTTCGGTACTCGGAGTCAGCTTTTAATAATCCGATTTAAAGAATAACCCTTTGTACCCAAAAGGGTTTGAACCCGGGGCACAAAAAAACCAAACCCCTTGTGTTACAACTAGACCACCACACCTTTGGTCATTTTAGAACAAAGTTTCCTCAAGAAAATATAGTTAAAGTGTAGTTAGCTTGTATATAATTATTTAAAATGAAAAAGCGTCTCAAACTATTAGATCATCTCCATCAGAATAACTTAACTATATATTTTTTATTAAAATAATAATAAACAGAAAAAAACGAAGGAGATAGAAGAAGATACGGTTTTCGGATGAGAAACGGTTATGATACTCAATGTACACTTGTCATTTAGCTAGTGGTTCAATTATTAAAAAAAATTGAAACATAATTATAAAATTGAAATATCAAAAAAAAAAATATTGTGAGAAACCCGTCATCGTCTCTGATGGAGGTGTTCTTAGTGGGCATGTTCAAAAATTTTATTAAACATATGGTTAATATTGATTCTAAAATTGGATTATATAGTTAACATTTTTTAAACAACAATTCGTACTCAAATCGGAACCATGCATGTTCGACCGTTCTACTCGAATATACTAAAACAAGGGCTTTGGGCTCCCTAAAATATTAATTGGAGTAGCTCAATATTAACACCTAATGGAATTACAATCTATTATCATTGATATTTCTTAGTTTTTGTGGAGAAAATTCTGAGAGTACAACCAAATGTAAAGAAGTTGTACCTTGTGGTGAGAGCATCCAATAATGAAGCAGCGACGAAACGCTTACGCACAGAGGTTTGTATACTTACCAATCTAATTCGCTATATAATGTTTGAACGAATCTATGTTTATAAATATATAAATTAAAGTAGTTAAGATTGATTTTGATTAATATGATTTGTTGCGTTATATATATAACAGGTATTTGAGAAAAGTCTTTTCAAGGAGTTGAGAGAGAATCTTGGCGATGAGATTTTGAATACATTGTTGTCAGAAAAAGTTGTCCCGGTCGCAGGTGATATCTCATTGGATAATTTTGGCGTGAAGGACTCCAATCTCAGAGAACATATGAAAAATGAAATCGATATTGTTGTTAATGTCGCAGCCACAACAAACTTTGACGAAAGGTACTAGTTCGAAGACATTTTATACAAGACATTTGTATTATTATTTTTATTCTATAGGATTTTTTAAATTATTTCTATTTTATAAGCTAAAAATAAAATAAAATATACATATGAAAAAGATATGATGTTGGACTTGGAATCAACACATTTGGAGCTCTCAATGTCCTTAACTTTGCCAAAAGATGTGTTAAAGCTCAATTGCTTCTCCATGTCTCCACTGGTGAGTCTTTTTCTAGTTATATAAAAAAAAAGATTATTTCACTCTCATATGGTTCTTGAAACTTATATAGTCTTACTTCTACATTTTGCTAGCTTATGTTTGCGGAGAAAATTCGGGTCTCTTACCTGAAAAATCATTTGCCATGGAAGATTCTTCGTAACAAGAATGGTCTTCAATTGGATATAAACCTTGAAAGGGAACTGATGAAGCAACGATTGAAAGAGCTAAATGAACAAGATTGTTCAGAAGAAGACATTAACCTCTCCATGAAAGAACTTGGAATGGAAAGGCGAGTTGTTACTAATGATTAATAAATCCTTAGATTAAAACTATTAGAATGGATCAAAACATAATTTGGTATATATTGATGATTAGGGCAAAACTTCATGGATGGCCAAACACATATGTTTTCACCAAATCTATGGGAGAGATGCTTCTTGGTAACCATAAAGAAACTTTTCCTCTCGTCATCATCCGTCCCACGATGATCACGAGCACTCTTTCCGAACCATTTCCTGGTTGGATCGAAGGGTTAAGGTAATATTTTTATCGTTAGGATTATTTAGCAACAAAAAAAATTTATCGTTAGGATTCTTAGTTTTGATTCGAAGTGTAAAATTAACATGTCTTTAGTCCAAAATAGCACTTTTATCAATGGTTGAATAACTCAAAGTCACCTTTTCTATTTTTTTATCTTAACTAATTAAAATTAGGGAAATTCTTTAAAACACCATAAATTGAAGTTTTCTTTCCAAAAATACCATCATTAGTTTTATTTTATAAAAATACTACAAACAAATTTATTTTTCACAATTACCACAAACACCAAAAATGAGTTTTAAGAATTAATAATTTAATATTTTGGGTTTGATGAGTTAGATTTAGGGTTTAATGTTTGGTTATTAAGGTTGAGGGTTTAGTTTTGAATGTTTGAAATTTAATTTTAGTTTTGTGGTATCTTTGGAAAACCAAAACTGTTAATGATATTTTTGGGAAAAAAAAACAAATGGGACTATATTTGAAAACAAAACTCCAACTTGTAGTATTTTTGAAAATTGCCCTTTTAATTATTCACATTAATCGTTTTTTTTTTTTGTAGAACTGTAGACAGCGTGATTATTGCATATGGAAAAGGAGTGCTCAAGTGTTTTCTTGTCGATGTAAACTCGGTCTGTGATATGGTATGAACTAGACATTTTGCTTAATTTATAATTCTGGAAACTTAGATAGCGCACTCTGAAAAATATGTTGACAGATACCAGTGGATATGGTGGCAAACGCAATGATCACGGCTGCAGCTACACATGCTGGAGGTTCAGGGGTACACATGGTGTACCATGTGGGTTCATCTAACCAGAACCCTGTGACGATTGGAGAGATTCATGAGATTTCGGTTCGTTACTTCACCAAAAATCCTTTGCGTAGTCGCAATGGCTCGCTCATAACCGTCTCAAAAGTGAGGTTCATATCAACAATGGCTATGTTCAGCCTCTACATGACCCTACGTTACAAACTACCTTTACAGGTACTTGCATGTATTAATGTATCATCGATATATATGACTCCAATACGACACTTGAATTACATATTGATTTTTTCTCAATCAGTTATTAAGATTAATTGATATAATATCTCCTTGGAGAAATGGAGATATATACGGAGACAAGAACCACAAAATAAAGTTGGTGATGAGATTGGTAGAGCTTTACGAGCCTTACGTACTCTTCAAAGGCATGTACGTATCAGCTTCAAATTATTAGTTTTCAGTTATGAAATTTAACCCTCGAAATTTGGTAATCACAATTATGAACCTGAATGTTATATTTGTTTAGCAAAAAAAG